AATTCTGACTCACAGGGATACTTCATGCTGATACAACTGTCCCATCAGACTTTCTTGACTGTAGTCTTTATGATCAATGGGTTTCTTCCAAGGGTTTGACCTGCACACCTTTCAGTTAGCAGTGGAGCACTTAACCATTGCACCGCTGGGGCTCCTTAGAGCCAGCATAGGAGGATGCATACTGGCCTTGATATTTATCACCCAATGGCCGTCATTTCCAAAAATGGCACCAGTGTGCAGTGAGATTGTAAGACAGATTAACATTATATCCAGTGACTCCTTTTCTCAACATAATGATCTTTCTTCCCCACTACATGGTGTGTTCTTTGAGGTCAGTCTAAGTGTTTTCATCATTTTTGTATCCAGCAGAGGGCCGAACACTTAGAGGTCAGTAAATGGACATGCTATCAGGAGAGACCAGTCCCTGGAGAAGGACATCATGCTTGGTCAAGGGGCAGCAAAAAAGAGCAACATCCCGCAAAGTGGATCAACACAGTGGCTGCCACAGTGGGCTCCAACATAAGAATTATGAGGATGGTGCAGGATTATGTACCGTGTTGCCCATGAGGTTGCTATGACAACAATAACAACAAATCTTTGTCAAACCGAGTTGACCAGAGACTCAGAGAAGGCGAAAAAAGTTATGAGGAACAAGGGAGAGAACTATTCTAGGGTTAGAGGTGTATCGCATGATGTCAGAAGTTATTCTCATTCACTTCAAATATGAGCTTTAGAATGCTTTTGCTCTTTTTAAAAAATATTTTTATTAGGGGCTCACACAACTCTTATCACAATCTATACATACATCAATTGTGTAAAGCACATTTGTACACTCATTGCCCTCATCATTCTCAAAGCATTTGCTCTCCACCTAAGCCCCTGGCATCAGCTCCTCATTTTTTCCCCTCCATCCCCGCTCCCCACTCCCTCATGAACCCTTGATAATTTATAAATTATTATTTTGTCATACCTTGCACTGTCTAATGTCTTAATTACTAATTTTCACCCATTGGAACTTATAATTGTTTATAAAGACAGCTCTGGGTAAGAGACTGAACCAGACAGCCCAGGATGGGGGTGTCTGGGTCCAGAGCAGCTGTGGGCAGAGCAGGGACTGGCTGGCATAGCACTGGGGGCAGTTTCTCTTTCCTAGGCTACATGGGCATTTGGCTCTCCCAGTGGAAAAAATCCACCCAACCCACTGTTTCTCTCTGGTGAAAGTTCATTTGGGGTACTGGTTTGCCCACACTTATCGAAGATCTGTGTGCATTCTTCTGCACAGTTGTTAAAGACATCCAAAAAAACTTCCTTATTGTTTTAAACTGTGAAGTGGGAGTGGAGAATGATTTAAATGGCCAATCTTAAGGCCTCTTCAAAACACCCACAAACAGTATTTTCATGTATTAAGAAGAGGGAAAACACACACAAACCTTAGATGGCTGTAAGCAAATACGAAAGCGGGATAGCGTCTGGGGCAACTAAACCAGTATTATGACTGAAAAAGGCCAAGTGCATACTGCAAACCCTCATGACCTGTTGTTTGTTGGTTTACCATTCTTTGATTTCCCACTCACTTTGGTAGTCAGGACAGAAGACTTAGAATGGACTGCATGTGTGAGGCACCTGGGCTTTTGCTCATACTGTTGCCTAAGAGGCTTTCCTTCTCTTGTGTCTGTCAGGATGAGTATTGGTCATCTTTAAAACACAATTCACTTGTTTACTGTTTCCGTTCAGCCCTTTTTTTTAGCTCATCCTTCATTCTTTTGCGTTGTGCTAGAAACGACAATACAGCGGGCTTCAAAACATCTGTGGAAACATCCATTTCTCCACGAACATTGTGAGCATCCCCTACATGTAAACTCGCTAAGCTCCCACAGCAGCTCGCTCACAGCCAGGTTCTGTTTGTCTCCTCACCCCTCACCGTTGGCAATGCTAAGATGCTTTTGAGGACAAAAAGGGCAGCTTTTATTTCTGATGTCCCAACCATTGGTGTGACACAGACAGTTTTCAGGATTTATTTGTTGAACTAGTAAATGACTAGTGAAAAAACCCACAAAATACAAATGATGAGCTAAAAGAACTCATTTCTTTGTAGATAGAAACAAATGACAACTACCTTAAATGAAACCATTAGTCAAGATGTAGGGCATATAAAAATATTTTTCTAAATGGTGAAGTGCTATAACAGCCTTAATTATTTGTTACTTAATTATTGTAGGACATAGGCTTTAAAGTCAGACACACTCCCTCTCTGTCTCTCTTTAATCCGTCTTTTCCTGATGTGCATGAAAGAAGCCCTTTGGGTTAAATGTTGGCTTGTTACCTGCAAGGTCGGTTGTTCGAGCCCATCAGACGAGGGAGAAAGAGGAGGCAACCTGCTCCCATAGAGATTTAGAGCCTTGGAAACCCAAAAGAGCAATTCTGATCTGCCTTCTAGGTTCATTGTGTGTTGGAGTTGAGTGATGTGCGTGAGCTCTCCATGCTTGCTTGTTCTGAAGAACAGCTGTGGTGCTCTCTGCTTGTTCTGCACTGTGCTGTCTTCCCTCACGTAACCCCAGTCTTTCTGAGGCTGAAGGGTCTGTTCAGCCGTTTTCTTCCTACTTAAGACCATTTTTCCATTCCAGTCCTCCTAAGCCCCGCTATAATCAATCCCCTTTCCAGGATCTAAATCTCTTGGGTTTTCTCCCTTTAAAGGATCAAACAACATTATACAACAATTTCAGCCTGACTTAATCCTGCACAAAGACACCTGGGCTTTGTGTGATGAAATTGAGATCTCCCTTCTAATGCAAGGTCAGCCATTGAAATCCACTAAGTGCTCCGAGGGAGAAAGATGGGAGTTTCCACCTCCATAAGCATTTCTAGCCTTGAAAACCCTAGACAGGGTGACTCCGAGTTTGAATTGACTTGACAGCAGAACATGGATTCTGTGGAGTGGGCGTGAATCGTTGGATCGTCTCAGTGTTCATACTAATGGCAAGACAACTAAAGACTGTTTATTTTATGCCTCTATGTTCCAGTGAGGAACCCTGATAGTGTGGTGGTTAGGTGTTGGACTGCTAACTTCAAGGTCAGCAGTTCCAAACCACCAGCCACTCCTTGTGGCTATCCCCATAAACAATTACAGTCTCAGAAACCCACAGGGGCAGTTCTACAATGTCCTACCAGGTCACTATGAGTTGGGATCGACTTGATTGTAGTTAGGTTTTTGTTTTGTTTTATTTTGTTTGCCCCCCGTGCTGTGACTTTAGGGATATAAATGATTTTTTTTCATATTTGCCCTGTCTCTTATGGTGAGTAGCTGATAGTGAGAAATTAAATTAACTTCTACAAATGCATCTTTTCATTAACATTTTAACTATCACATGAAAGGACACTAACAAAAGATTGACCAGTTAATCAATCAGCAGATTTCTATTAGTGTTAGTAATAGTAGTTAGTAATAGTAGCAGTAGCCACGATGGCTACCAAGCCAGTGAAATACTTGGAGTCACAGAATTGTAGGACAGAAGCTTTCTGTTTGAAGGACACCTCCAATTGGCGCAGTGACCAGAGGTTGTACCTGATGTCCAGGAAGCCATTAGACAACGCAATTCATATGGATTGCCCCAGAAACATCATGCCCTTCTGATCAGAGCCTCAGTGTATCTCAGCATGTGGAAAATAACTTTCATGACTTAACTTAGAAAAGGGACCTCAGTTTCATCACACAAAGCCCCAAACTCTTTGTACAGGACCAATTCTGGTTGAAATTACTGTATAAAGTTCTCTTAAATGGAGAAATAGATAAGAAGTAAATATCCCGGGAAAGGGATGATAGTTATGCTTAGGAAGATTGGAATGGAAAAGACCATAAAAGAACCAGATAGCATGCAATAGGAGAAGTTCTGTGAACAGTCCCCCCCCCCCACCGCCCCCCAAGCTCTTTGGGTAGAAAGGACAGCGCTTCCTTGTACATATCACTTTGTGCCGTGGTTGAGGGCCTTAAATGGGACTCTACCTGCTGCCAGTCTCTCCCTGGCCTGGTAGGCCCACTGAGAGGACTCTGGGCCCCACTCGGTCTATAGCTGAGAGTACTAAGAAAACGGTCTTTCCTAGCTATTTTATACCCCCAGCCTAAGTGACTAATTATATCCTTTTAACCCTGCTGACAAACATCCTACTACCTCATGCCCCCTTGACTTTCTGGTGGGTGGAAGGGGGTAGGGGTGGGGAGGGACGGGTAGCACAGAATTATGTCTTTTTAACCTTGCTATCAAACATCAGGCCTTAGCGGGGGATGGTTTATTCGGAGGCCTCAAGATGCCAACAGGGAAAGGAAGGGAGAAAACCGTAGCTGCCTGGCTTGTCTTGATCTTTGTCGAACTCCCACAGAATTTCAAGGGAAACAAAATCAGGATAGGGTATTGGACCAGGTGATCTGCTCTCCTAGAAATTATGCCTCGCCCAGGAAACCCAGTGGGGCAGTGCTGCTCTGTCTACAGGGTCACTCTCCATCAGAATCAACCCACCAGCACCCCCCCACCCCAACCCAACGGGGAAAGAGCAACACTGACATTTCAAGCATCTAGATTCCAATCTTGACTCTCCCAACTAATTGTTTTGCATCATTATGAAATATAACTTTTTAAAACCTTGCTTTCTGTTTCCAAAACTAGGAATTTGGACTAAATTGTCTATTTTCAGAGACCCTTTTAACAGTTGATTTCTTTTTTTATTTTTTTATCAGTCCTGTGTCTTTATTAAAGAGAATTAGAACTAGACTAGACCGGGCAGCCAAGGGGAGATGTACTGGCCAGGAAGATGGGGTGGGCTCAGGCCTGGGGATTCAAGGGCAGGCTAATGACCTGGGGGAGGCCAAGGAGACCAGGTGTTGGCAGCAGCTGTGGAAGTGTTCAAGGTTCAGCTTTCAGGTACTGGGACCCCCAGCTGGTTCTGCAGGGGGATCAGGGTGGGTTGAGCTGGTTAGAATGTCACCAGGGCACTCCTGCTCTGTGTGCCTAGATCATCCACTGGTCTTGATCCTGCTTGTTGCCTTCCATGTCCACCTCATTGACCTCTCCATCGTCAGGTGACTCATTATAATCATTCATCTCGTCCATGTCCTGCATATCCTCATCATCCTCTGAATCTTCCTTGCTATCTTCATCATCTTCCTCCTCCTCCTCTTCATAGTGCTCTGAGGCTGGCTTGCCAATAGGTACCAGGTTGTTGTCCTTTTCTGCAATGCTCTGGAGCCAGGCCTGATGCTGCTGTTCCTGCTGTTCCTGCTGTTGCAGTTCGGTCTCCTCCACACAGGGCCGATCCAGATTAAACCAGAGCGTCTCAGTCACACGGGGGAAGAGTGAGGGAAACAAAGTAGACATGGCTCCTAGATGGCTATTTAACCTTGGTCAAGTCACGCCACCAACCTCTTGGAGCCTCAGCTACCTCATTGCACCCGTCGGCGACCCGGAGGCACTTCTCAACAGTTGGTTTCTAAAGTTTGGATTAACAGTATCTGGAGGGGTTTGTAGAAGGAAAAAAAAAATCCCTGTGAGCTGGAGAAGTATAGAGAAGTGTTTGTGGAAGGGATAGGGAGGAGCGGGGCTTGATGACAGGTGAGATTTAGATTAGTGCGGCAGGAGAGGGAACTTGCCGGTCAAACGAAGAGAAAGAGCAGACGCGTTAGCAGCAGTAGGTAAGATGGTTATTGAGGTGATTTAGGCTCAAAACTCACTGCCCTGGAGTTGGTTCTGACTCATGAGTAGAACTGACCCATAGGATTTCCAAGGCAGTAAATCTTTAATGGAGCACAAAGCCTCCTCTTTCTTCCCCGCAGTGGCTCATGGGTTTGAACTGCGGACCTTGTCATTAGCAGCCAAATGCATAACCTAATATGCCACCAGGGTTCTGTAGATTTAGGCTAGTTGTAATAAGACAACCCAGTACAGGGGGAGGGAGAGTCGTTTGAATAGCGAATGGGAGAAATATGGTCATAATACTGAAGTGTGGACCACTTAACGTATTCTAAGTGAATGTAAAATACACAATCAATCTGCAATCAATGCCTTTGGAAGCAGAAGCCAGAAAATTAAGCAAAATATAGCCTTGGGCAGATCTGTTACAAAGGACCTCTTTAAAGTGTTAAAAAGCAAAGATGTCACTTTGAGGACCAAGGTATCGCCTTCTAAGCATTGGAGAGCTGGCTTATGACCAGGGAAGACTGAGGAAGAATGATGCATTTGAATCATAGTGTTGAATATTGGATATATCATGATATTGAATATATCATGAATATTGGATATATCCTGGATTTCCATGGGAATAAACAAATCCATCTTGGAAGAAGTACTGTTAAAATGCTCCTTCTAGGATTGCATGACTTTGTCTCATGTGCGTTTTTCTTTCTTTTTGTGGAAGGATGATGTTTATGTTTTTCTTTTTTAAATCATTGTATTGGGGGTTTGTATCACGCTTATCACAATCCACCCATCCATCCATTGTGTCAAGCACATTTGCGCATGTGCGTTTTTCTTCTTAAACTGTTTATTGTGAATTAGGCGACGGTTTACTCAGCAGATAGTCAATTTTACATTTAACAATTTATACACATTTTGTTTCAACACCTCCTTTTCAATACCTTCGCATTATTATCGCTTTTCCTACTTCCTCACTGTGTTTCCTGTTTCCATCACTCCTTCTTCCCTAACCCTCTGACCGTTTTCCTGGGGCAAATGTTGCCCTGTTGACCTTCAAGCATTGAGTTATTCTAACATGGGAGTGAGTCCAGGTCCAGACGAATGATGACTCAGGGCCATCGTCTTACCCATCTCTATCCAATCAGTAAGCCTCGTCTCTTTCATGATTTTGAATTTTGTTCCACATCTCCCCACTCTCTATCCAGGACCTTCTAATATGATTCTTTTCAGAGCAGTAGGCAGCAGCTCCCGCACCTTAGGCACCTTATTGAGAAGGATCAGTCCCTGGAGAAAGATGTCATCCTTAGTGTGCCAGCAAAAAAGAGGAAGTGGTCAGTGAGACCGACTGGCACAGTAGCTACAGCAGTGGGATAAAACCATCACACCTGTGAGGATGGCACCGAACCAGGCAACAGTGTGCTCTGTTACACATAGCATTGCTATTCCTTGAAACCAACTGAACAGTGACTAATGACAGCGGCAGCAAGTAGATGTATTAATTCATTTAACTAGATTGTGAAATAGGTTGCTCTTATTAACTTTATTATACTGGTAAGCAAACTTTAAGCTCGCAGCAAATCTGGGATTTGAATCCAGGTAGTCTTGCTCCAAATTTAGCTCTGTAGTCACCATTTCATGATCACTGGATCCCAGTGTTCTGAATTTCTTGCTCCTAAGCATCTCTTCTCCTTTCCTCAATGCCAACAACAAAATGGTTAACCTTGGGCAATTTCTTGTTCTCTCTGAACTTCAGTTTCTTCATCTATAAAGAGGAAGTTGTGAATACTCCAAAGGGTTCTCATAAAAATCAATGGAAATAAAGCCTGAAAATGGCTGAACATAGTGACTGGCACCTGAGAAATGTTCAAGAAATATTCTATCATAATAAGCAGATTTCCATGGAAGCTTTCAGACAACAACTTACTATGTGTGTATTTGTAGGCCTCTTCACGTCAAGTGAAAAGATTTCCATGACAATGAAAAGAATTTTGAAAAATAGAGGAAACCTTGATGAGTGTTTTTCATTTTGGTTACAGTAGTTTGTTTGCATATAATTTAGAAAACATTCATTATAGGTGTTTTAAAAACAGTCTCCAAGGAAGCTGTGTTTTGAGCTGGCTTATTTGTATGCACTATCACATACATTGTCTCATTTAATCCTCTCTGCAGTGGGATTTGCAGGGAAGTCATGAATATTATTTTCCTATGAAGGAATTAGGATCCAGGGGATTAGGCTGGTCATCCAGGCTCACAAAGACAGACAGTGATAGAGCATAAATGTGCATTTCTACAAACTTGCAAGGGAGTCTCAGTGGTGCTAAATGAAATTATGAAGCACTTAGTCAATCTAGTCAGAGCGCTGTATGAAGTGGACCAGAATTTCAGTTCTCCTAGACCAGTGCTTCTCAACCTTCCTCATGCTGTGGCCCTTTCGTACAGTTCCTCATGTGGCGGTGACCCCCCAACCATCAAATTATTTTCACTGCTCCTTCATCTCTGTCATTTTACTACTGTTATGAATTGGGCAACCCCTGTGAAATGGTGCTTTGACACCCTCCCCAAAGGGGTCGCAATCCACAGGTTGAGAACCGCTGTCCTAGGCATTTCCAAGCGATTTAGTTTATTGGCACTTCTGTGATAGCTTGGGGTTCACGTGCAGAATCTTCTAGATACTGACAGAAAGCCAATGAGTGACAGTAAAACTATCCTGGTGTTCTGGAGAGCATACGGGATTTGGAGTTAGAAAAGGTTTAATTCAGACCATAAGCAAATGGTCATGCCTCTTCTCTGAATCTCAATTTCCTCATCCTTAAAATCAGAGTAATAATGCTTTATGACTGTGAGGTCAAATGAGACAATGTCCATGAAAGAGCCTTGAAATTGTAACAGACCCTACAGACTTAAATATAGGTGGGCTGACATCAAAGCAACTGGTGGGGTTGAAGATGGATATGAAGAAGAGTTCCCCATTTAATTCTCGAAGTATTGCCACCGGCCATTTTTCTAGTTATTCGGACTAAGAATGTGGGGGAGAAACCGGTTTGGACCAGGATTGCTGATTCTGCTCAGAACTGTGGAGGTCGTGAGTTGGGTTTCCTTGCTTTTCTGTGTTCTCTGTGCCCATGGACGCTTCTCATCTTCCGCCCACAGACATATGTGCTATCACCTGGGACCCGTTCCAGAGGGGAACACATTTCCTGAAATAAAATTGGGACATGATGTCTAATTATCCAGCATAAGAAGTAGTCTGGGGCATTTTAGATGCTAAATTGCGAGACATTTAGGGAATTTTCATGGAGACTGAAAACTGGAAATCCACAGGTTTTGGGCAAATGCAGGCCAAATTGTTGGCAGATCTGCTTGTCTCCTTTATTTTTCAGCAATGTGAGTTCATCTTGGCTCAAGTATGAGCTTTTAATGATTATTGGCAATTCCTGTTGAGATTTTGCATTTACTGGAAAACCACCATAAAACATACAAGCTTTGCCAACCCCAAGGAAATCCTGGTGGTGCTGTGCGTTAGGCATTGAGCTGCTAATGACAAGGTTAGTAGTTCGAACCCCCAGGTGCTCTGCGGGAGAAAGATGAGGCTGCCTGCTGCCATAAGATTTTGTTGTCATTATTGGTAGGTGCAGTCAAGTGGGTTTTGACTTATAGCAACCGTATGCACAACAGAAGGAAGCACGGCCTGGCTTTTGCCGCCCTCACCACTTGTCTTACATTTCAGTCCATCTTGTAGAGGGCCTTCCTCTCTGTCACTGCCCCTCTGCTTTCCAAGCATGATGTCCTTCTCCGGGGAGTGGTTTCTCCTGTTCACATGTCCATAGTCTGTGAGATGGAGTCTCACCATCCTTGCCTCTTGGAGCTTTCCCGCTGTCCTTCTTCCAAGACAGATCTGTTTATTCTATTGGAAGTCCACGGTACTCTCCATCTGTGTCACCAACACCATAGTTCAAACGCATCTTATTCAATATCCAAATATTTCACGGTCTTGGAAATCTTATTCAGGGTCACTGGTGATTGGAATGGACATGAAGGTAATGCTTTTGGCTTTTGGATTAGAGCCATAATGGACACCAAGATTGGGTGAAAAAGAGAGTCATTTTTTAGGGCCACCAGCATACATGAAGCATGTACTCCAGAAGAATTGTCTCACAGCAATAATACAGCGTCTGCTGAAAGTAGGAGCAAGGGAGATTTATTGAGGTAGGTGGATGGTCTGGCTAGGAAGACGTTCAAATTCACAGAGTGAATGAAGATGGATGTTCCTCAGGACAATGAAGAAAAACTCATTTTTGGACAGTTGAAACAGGAACTAAAAGTTACAAAATCATAATTGTACAAAAGACAAGCGGGGAGAGAAATATGGGCTCTCTGAAAGTGGGGATTTGGTGGAGATAGGTGAATATGACACATGAGGTAGGGTGACGTGGTTGGTTAAAGGTACATGCTCTTCTGTTTATTACTAGATGTCCCTACACGGTGGCAGGGCAGGTTGTCCTGTTAAGCTGTTAGTCAAATTGTTTCCGAAACATGTATTTCTGGGGGGCCCGTTGTAAAGCTTCAGTGATAATACTTTGCATCAAGACCCTTCAGGTGGAAAAAAAGACCCTTCGGGTCTAGGCTGTCACATCTTAAATCTGTGTGGCCATCATGGAAAGACCCTCTGGAAATACATGGTGCTATCCTGCACCTGCCAGGGCTCAGCGAAAAAGAATGTGTTCCTTAGGGCATTCCAGGAAGCTTCA